ACACAGCATAGTAATAATTTAAAATTAGTTGTATCATTACAATTATTAGATCTGGACTAAAATGAAACTTTAACTAAACGAAGTTGCTCTTGAGGTTAATCAATTTTCTGAAATTTCATTTAATCATATTTCATTGGATTAGATGTCATGATAGTTTTTACAACTGAGAAATAAGCAAGTTTTAAGAGGTTGAAAAATTCAAAACCTCCAACATCTTTGATTGACAAATTTCCAACCGAAATCTCTTTAACATTCTGAAATTTATTTGTTGATTAAAATATAAAACTTTGAAGGAATAAATCATTTAGGAGAATTCCTTCAGTGTATTGATCATTTTAGGAGTTGTTGTACAATTTATAAACAACTTTTAAATAACTTTATCAAAATTAGTTTCAATTAAACGTCAATTAAACGTTTTTTTATTAAAGCTTGTATTTACTAACATCTCTTAGTACATTAAATGTTCCCCCCCCCTTAGGTGTTCATATACTCTTAGTGATCAAATCCATATTTAAAACTAGGAACAATTATAACTAAATAAACAGTGGTAAATTTTTTTAAAAAAAAAAATAAGTAGTAGTGACAACAAAATGAAAACAAGTTTGTTTCTATAAGATATTCGATAAGTAATTCATTTTAATTCTTTATTTACATAAGATCAAATTGAGATGATCTTTTGATCAATATTTATTTTATTCAATGAAAACATTCTTTCAATAAATAAACCTAAATATACCTAACATAATAAAATATAAAAAAAAAATAACGAAATGAAATTGTTTAACATCTAATACTAAATATCTTTATATTAAAAGAGAAAGAATAGTAAATAAGTCATTTTTATTTTTTGTTTAGAAAGAATGAAGAAACTGATTGTGATGGAATGTTAAACAGTCTATATTATATATATATATATATACTATACTATACTCTTTATGGTTAATTATTTATGTTTATTATAAGTTTTGTAATGGATCTAGTCTCTAATATTAATTGACAGTGATAATATGAAGTTATAAGTTTGTAAATATCATTGTTGACTTCATTAGGGCAATCGATATGTAAAACAAATTTTTTTTTACTCATAATGTCAATACATTGTTTTGAGAGCTAATAAACAATGATGTCACTAATAGAGTGATTTAATGTGATTAATTTTTATTTACAATTTAACTTAAAATCATATTGATAAATCACATTGTTGGTTCTCTTCCTATAATTAAGGTAAAATAAAAATTTAAGCCTTTATGATATAATCTTAATTGATAATATGTAAGATAATTAAATGATCATTCTAATAACTTATAAGGACAGAAGGTGATATGGTCAAAATTAGAATGAATATTCAATAAAAAGTAGCGACTCGTTTGTATGTATGCCACGGGAATATAGATGAAATAATGCCCTTATTAATCGATGGCTTAAATCACATCAAAAGAAATAGAAATAAACCAGTTTGAGATAGAAAATTTGAGGCAAAAATGAAAAGGGAAGGAGACAGCTATAGAGGAAGAAAAGTATGAAGAAAAAAAAACTATGAGACATTAAGAACATGGTAGAATAAGAGATTGTATCGATCTCTTTTGGATACAATTCTGTACAAAAGAAATTCGTAACCCCCCTATCCCTTCCATGGCCAGTTATAACTTAACTAACAATATTTTTAATTTTTAATTTTTAAAATTTTATTATTATCATTACCTATTTATTTTATTCTATTTTGTTATCATTAACGTTATTTCCGTTGTTTGTTTGTAATTTTTCGCCTCATGGTATTCTTCGCTATCTAATTCTGGTTTTCCTAGATGTATGGTATTGCTACGGATATGTTAAAAAGATATAATATAACAGCTTTTGGCAGCCTTCTACTTACTTTGTAGATGACTTTGAATGCAGAATCTGTCTGGCTTGAGTGACATGTGTTCACAAAGTATTCGATTAATAAGCTTCTATGATCCTCCTGATTAAGTTTCATCTCGATTTCAACATTTTATCTTATCATATTGAGCCATCCTTTCCCAATGATAATTTCCCTGACTATGTTTATGATAAATATTTAGGCCCTTAACAATAAAACTATTATTAGTTTTCCTGATTAACATTTTTTGATACCGTTGTTCATTCTACCACATTGTTACTATGTTTAACAGAAGATTATTATCATCCTGAAAAATAAGGATATATATTTGAGATTGTACAGCTTTGAAAATGAATTCCCGAAAAGAGGACTCTTCGCTGAATCAATATTTCCTATTTAAATATAACACGCAACTGGAAGATCGCTGATAGTTTTGTAACCTTCAGTTTTGACCGATAACTTCAGCACTTAAAAATATATCAAGGCAGTCAAACAAAGATTTTCATTGTTGTGATGAATCCGGTTAATATTTTACAGATTGGTTTTGTGAATAAGTTAACAAGTGACTAAAGTCAATCATTTCAATGTTTCATTCAACCATTCCGCCTGTCATTACAACTACCTAAACATGTAACTGTGTCGTTTTTTCTGCAGAAATTAATTATAGTCTATTTTTATTACATTAAAATATTTCTAATTGACTGTCTTTTTTTAGTGCTTCGCTGATTTATATTTCTTTCGGAATTGTATCTTAAATACCTAATCATTTCTATTATTAATAATACTCTTACTACCTCTACTAATTTGGGATTATCCCTGACAATTTCATCTAGCTATATTAATGGGGTATGACAACTTGGACCGATGTACACATTTAACAGGCTGTACGCTGGGTCTATCTGACTGACTAAATTATGTCATTATGATAGATTTTTTATAAGTAAAACAAGCTTTTATGTTGTAGTTAGATATATAAAGCACTAAACTGGATAAAAAATGAATACAGTAGTTATGGAAGTGATAGAGTTTATCTATATTATAATATGTCACTCAAATTAATAAAGAATATTTGTAGATCAGGTAAATACTTTTACTTTTGTCGCGTTACCTGAGCTAAGCAATTTATTAGTGAAGTATTTATTATTTTCTTGAACATCATCTACATTTGTTATTCAGAAGAATAATAAACTCTTCACAATCAAACTGGTTAGAGAAGATAAGTCAATACATAACCCCCTCTAACCTCCAGAATGTTTCGTTGGGACAAGAGTTAAAACATTGATGTTTACATTTACTGGAGTAATATATCTAAATAGAAACTACATAAAATCATAATAATTTCTAATATTTCGGGTTTACTTGTATTGTACTATCGCGTTTACGTTTCGCATAGAAATTACTTAAAACTAGATATCATGTGGAGGTTGATCAGAAACGAAACAATATAATGATTCTCCACTTGTTAAAAAATTTATTTACAAAACTTCATAACCACAGGTTATACAGAAAAAGTGTTAAGTGAGGATAGCCAGTCATTTAGTGGCCCTATATCTGACCTTATTTGGATCATGTGAATGATTGCTATGAAGATATACATTCCACCAAGCCTCGTATAATTTCATAAACTTAAATCGCCTCAGTGAATAAGGGAGAAAGTCAAGTACGAGGATGAAGTTTGGATGAGTATATTTCGTACACTCATTGATCTGAACTGATCATCAGTGAAACGAAGTGGAAAGGAGAGAGTCATGCGAAATGAAATGACAAGCAATGGAGAAGGCAAGTGAGACAACTGCAATGCTCATCGTTTCATTTCACTTCGCCTCCTTCGTTGCATTTCCCTGATTGTCCGTTCAGATCAACGACTGCATGAAGTATGATTCCGTTATTTACCAACGAGAGTTAAGTTTATTATACACGAGGGTAGCCATGTTGTATATTTTAATAGTAATCAAGAAACAATCTAATTGGAGTCAGATTTATGGTCACTAAACTTTCCAGTGAATCAATTTATTTGTTCTTAAGAAGTATTCATGAAACAGTTGTCTTTAGGTAATTTTACACAGACCTATGGATAAGTTTTCTATTAATTCGGTATGATTATAGATTTTCCCATTGAAGAATAATAATCAGATAAGAATGAATGGATTGTTCAGTATTATAGCAAAAAATGTTTTCATTGTATATTAGTTAAGATTTATCAATTGTCATTTTGTATTTTAATTGTAAAACCATATAAATTGTAAATAAGAATATCAAACATCATTGATAATCATTTATTTAACCTTCTAATATTTTAATTACAGATTTAGAAGAGTAAATATCTCAACATGAAAAAATAAATATCATAAAAGAATTGAAACAATAGAAAGATTATTTTTAATATATTCAACAACAACAACAAAAAAATAACACAAATCAATCTTCTTTTTTTTATTATTGTTCAATTGAGAAAAAAGAAAGTTAGTCAACAATCATCATAAATTATGTACACCTTCTAAACTAATTTTTAAAAAAAAATAATAATCAATAATCATTATTGTACCAAGTTATATAAATGAAAGAGAAAAGAAAAATAATGAAAAACTCGATAGTATTTATTTTAAATAATAATAATTATTATTATTATTATGTTAATAATAATATGGACTATTGAGATAAATAGTGAAAGTAAACAAAATAACGAAATAAAAACAAGAAAAACACACAAAAACTCATATTAACATTTGAATTATCTTTTATTAATTTTTTTTCTTTATAACAAAAAAAACCTCCATCGTCTGGCGAGAATTTCAATAAATATAAACTCTGATGAACAAGCTTATCCATCATCTCTCTCTCTCTCTCTCTCTCTCTCTATATATATATATATATATATATATATATATATATATATATATATATATATATATATATATATAGTAAAACAATGGATAAACAATAAAATGAAGTCAATGGTTTCAATATCAATAATAATAATAATAAATTTAGAGTTAATGGTTTATATTGGCATAGATTGTCTTTGTTGTTAAAAAAAAGCTATCAGTTTTCATTGAATTTTATAAATTAATTAACAAAATAACTATTAGTTTTATTTGGTTTTTTATTGTTTATTATAAAATAATACAGAATGTTAGTATTGATTATATTCTTGTAAATTTGAACAGAAACTATATATGTGTCGGACAAAATATAAAATAGATGAAATAAATAAACAAAGAAACAGGAGCATGAAAATTACTGAAACGAAATGAATAATGAAAGAAATCTAGCAAGTTATTGTAGATACATGGTGTATTCATGGTCATCAATATTTATATTAAATAATATAATAAATTGTCAATTTCTTTTGTTTTATGTTGGAACATGTCATAAATGGTTATGTATGTGTACACTTTAAATTGATTAAAAAACAGGATACAATGAAATTTTTTTCTTTTTCTTTAAACTATTTTATGCTCAGTTTCTGGACGATGTGAAAATTCATAATCTAAGTGTACAAAAGCCCGTTCAACTGTTTCTAATTTTTCCAATTTCTTTTGTAACCCTTCACCAATATCATGAGCTTCTTTAAGACACATTTCTTTAGGTAACACAATGTCAACCTAATGAATAAGAAATGAAAGGTAACAGGGCAACTGATGAATCGATAAGTAATTCAAAAGAAAAATGATTTATATATACATATATATATTCAGAAATCTGACAATACAGTGAGCCAACAATTAAAACAAGACATAGATTTTGAAAACACTGAGAAAGATAACAGAAAAATATGTAAAAACTGAACTGAAAGAGATTTCAACGGAAATCTAAAGACAAAATGTAGAAATAAATCCATGTTTTGTTGTAAACAAATAATTTTTATCCTTGGTTTCTGAATTCCTTTCATATGACCGACTTTTTAACATAAAGTAATTAAGATCGACTTAAAGTCATTCTTTGTAATTAATAAGCAATGATTATTCAAACGGTGTAGTATTTTCGATATCTTCATGTAATCCAACATATTTGCTTAAACTAGTTTCTATTTACGTATAATTCTGATTCTTAATTTAATAGATATACAATTATTCATCCTGTGATAAGAAAAGTATTTATAACGAGTACACAAACTACCTACAGCTACTCAGTACTTAAATATCGAATATGATATCAACAGGAATACAAAGACATTTGAAGAGAACAAAAAATGAAAACAAAACTCAGTCATGAACAAAGCAAACAGGATGAACTGATCGATACCATATGAAATAACTGTACGACTAAATTCTGTCTTAACTAGTCATTAATATTTTAAACTAGAACAACAATAAAAGCTTTGAAACAAAATAACCAAGTTAAAGGACCGGAACTCCACTAGAAAGATCTAATGGAGCAATAAAGTTTCATCTTACTATTTATAATAATCACATTTATACTAACACTGATGATTATTGGTTAATTGAGAAATAAACGGTAACAAAACAAGAACATCTTCAATACGTCAATGCTATTACAACACTTATAAGGTTGAGAGCTATTGATTATCTGCGCCTATAATTATGCAACGACATAAAGGTTGAAGAGAAAGGCTAACAATTCTAGCTATTGTTTGAAGAATAATTATAATAATCTTCAACTGCTAAAATATCCCTTTATGGAGTTGTTATAACCCGATAAGCATAATGAATGATAACTTTTCGGATCCATTGATGGACCAATACTAAACGTATGTTTTTTTATCGTATAAGTGTTAAATAACTACACTATTGATATTCATGTCCCTCTTATTATAAGCTTTATTTTGACCTATGAACTATTATTATACGATCTACCATTCTTGAATTATGCTGTCTATTAATCACTACCTCCCACATTCACAGCCATATCTGGCTAATTCGAGTAAAAATGTTGTTTCATATTTTATTGGTACGTTGTGGTCTCTTTGATTGGTATATAAACTCAGTATGTTTGAAATAAAATGATTCATATCTCAGAGGTTGAGATTGGTGTTCTGGACTTAAATGGCTGGGCTAGGCGGAAAGCAGGACCAATCAGGGCTCTAGACTGCTCTACGGGTTTTACGCGTCATTGGTCCGATCGATAATTCACTGCTCTCTAATTGGCGGTATCGTTATTTCATACAATAGCGGGGCACACAGGCCACATGTTATAACAGGAGTGAAACCAAAGTGTGAACTCTCAGTTAAATATCGATCAGACAAACTAATATATTTCTGATTAATGTTACCAAATAAAGTGAATTAAATTATTTCTGCCATCGAGAGTAGTGTACTAAAAGGTAAACGTGAACGAAAAGAAATTAAAAGAAAAAGTTACTTACTTCAACCAAGAAGTTTTCACCGAAATGAAATGCCCTAATGGTATCCACTTGTTCAATCAACGGATGATAATTAAGACAAACGAAAGCAATCTTTTGAATAAACCTTGGATTAGCTGTATGACCAGCTAGATTACGTATCTGTTCTAAAAAAAAGATCATTACGATTCAGAAGTCATTTTATGACTGAAAAATTACATTCATTTAATAATGTAGAATTCAGTACGTATATTACATAAAAACGTTTGTGAATTATGCCTGGCCTCCTTGCAAATTTGATAAACGAAAGGTGTAAATGAAGATAACAGAATACAAATTATTACATCAGAAATCAACAAATTCTGCAATTACCTTCAAATTTTGATTTTACCACACAATCAGAAATTGCTATCTGATTGAGTTTAGAAAAAAATTACTGACCCGATAAACAATAAAAAAAGATGGAGTTATACTGGTACTATGACCAGTTTGCACTGAATGGGCCATTACCGAGTTGTTCATTTTTTCCACTAAACCTTTGTTTAGCCACGTTGGGACTTCCGAAGAATTTCGGCATTCATATTAAGACGTCTTAATTCTTCCTTCAACTTCCAGGGCACATTTTAAATTGTTTATTTTAGTTATCGTTTTCTAGAAAGATTTTTTTCTACGGGATGGGGTTCCCGACACCATACTCAACCCTCCTCCTTAACCCGGGCTTGGGACCGAAAGTAAATCGGGAAGAGTTACCTGACCCAAATTTATTCTGATAATGAATATCATAATTTGACTTGACGAATAAGCTTATTCAAGTCATCACTTCACGATAGTCATCTCAATATTGAATTCGTTATTGTAAACAATCCTAAGTCCATATGCTATGCTTTAAACAATGTACTTTGTCTTAAACCTGGTCACTCATTTAATTATCGATTTGGATGTAGAACTGTACAACTTGAAGAGAACGTAATAACAAATATATTTTCGTGATATCCCAATAAGAAAATTATATTTCCGGTGATTCGTGACTTAATGTAAGCCACTTCTTCAGAGTAAATAAACAACCCAGAATAAATTAACACAAGTTCAAATAATACACTAGAAATACAATTTTCTACTTATTGTGATATCAGAAAATTGTGTGCTTTTTACTAACTTCCTACTCAATCATCTATTGATTTAAAAATATCAAGTCTCATTTTGGCATTGAAACCTACAAACTGAATAATAACTGAAGAGAATATTCTTTGTTCATACATTAGTGATATAATTTGATGGAGATTTTTAAACATTATTATCCATCGAAATAGCTAGGATGAAATGTAGTTTTATACACTAAGAAGTTGCATATGTATTATTCTACCAATAAGATTTAAAGAACTTCAAATCTTATAAAATGCGTCAGTGTATTTCTCAAACATAATCTGTACAATTTCCAGTTCAGATGAGAAAATTATATCAAATAATAAAGCCTTAATCATATTATTAAATTGTTATTCTGGAACTAAATAATCAAACTACTAACATACACCATTTAGGTATTTGAGCTAGAATATAATAGACATTCATGGTTTTACAAACCAATAATGGTGAAGATGTGTTAATGCCAATAAAAATACATGATAATGATAGAGTGGTTGAATTAGTAATGACATGAGCATAGATTTACCATTAGTGTGATTTAAGGAAAACATGTAAGCAAGAATAACAATGATTGTGAGACGAAATGTGTAAAATGTGATCGATAGACGAACCCACCAATAATAAAGGGAAACGCCCACCACCACATTAACTCCTTTTGACCTTGTACGACTGTATCTCTTTATTAACCAGCCACAGTTTAATGTTCATTGTAAAGCAATATTTGCTTGTTGACTCATTTTTCCTATTCTCTGTCTACTGTTCGAAACAGATAAAGTTTATCTAGCCAAATAGCTTGCTTGTTCTGACTTTGGCCAAGCCAAGACTCTGAATTCGACGGTCTAGAGAATAGCTCAGAATTAAACCTATAGGAAATTGCTACCTACAAAGTTTCTAACAGTATCTCATCAAAGTTTCGTACATTGGGTACCTTTAGATGTCTATGGAGAGTCATAAAACTGATCATATTCCTGAATTGTCTCCTCATTATTCGGAAACCCATAGAGATGACCAGCTCGGAGGAAATACCTACCGAATGGATCCCTTGTTAGAATTAGAATTAGCTAAAGTACGTTTAGCTCAGACAGAAAAAGAAATCGAGCTAGAACGGTTACGCCAAAAAGGAAGAGAACATTATAACCAAGTTATGAAAAGGCAATGACGTATGAGTCTACATCTGTCTCACATGTTGTTGATGTTTCTCCCGGAAAAGACTGGGTAACAATGATGTCTAGAGCTTTAGATCTATCAAAGAAAGAGATTATAAGGTTTGATGGTAACCATATGAACTATTGTAGCTTCATACGAAATTTCGAGGACTGTTTTGACGAGAGCATTGTGTTACGATCTAGGTTAAACTATTTGATCCAGTACTGTGATGGTGAAGCTAAAAACACTATTGTTCATTGCGCATTGCTCGAGCCAGAAGAAGGCTATCGTAAAGCACTAGAATTTCTCGAGGAAGCATTTGGTCAAAAGCATATAGTACCCCATACATTTATTGATAAGATGCTGAACATCCCTTCCATAAAAAGGACCGATCCATATAATTTAAGAAGGTTGTCTCGTGAGATGCATATTTGTGAGCTAACACTCACGCAGATGAATTATGTAACTGATCTTTATTTTACAAGGACTATCGAATGTATGTTTTTAAAACTCCCATTACACCTGCAAAGTGAATGGGTTAAAGTTGCGTGTAGAATTCTTAAAACAGATAGAGAACCTTCATTCAAGGACCTTTGCGAATTTGTGAAAGAGCAGTCAGACATTGCTAATACTAGGTACGGCTTACTTGTCAACCGCGGTAGTAATAGTGTCAATAAAGATGTTGGTGTTTTAAAAGGGAAAATTAGTACAGATTACAATGCAGCAAGAATATCTTATGCGAGTGCTAGTGATGATAATGCTCCATTACTCAGTTCATCTTGTTTGGAGTGCTCCAGTAATCATTCTTTAGATCAATGTCAGAAATTTAAAGACAAGAATGTTAGAGAAAGGAAGGAATTCGTTCTTAGACACAAGTTGTGTAATGTATGCCTGAAGGCAAACCAAGTAGCAAAAAATGTCGATCGCCGAGGTCGTGTGCTGTCGAAGGGTGTGCTGGAGACACCATACCCTGTTACACGAGTTGCGGGAAGAACCAAGGAATACTAATATTGATGCACACATCAACACCCAGCTATATACGGAGAAAAGTGTTGAGCGTGTACAGAAACAAGTAGCATTCGCAATAGTGCCTGTACTGGTAAGAAATGGGGAAAAGGTAGCACAGACTTGCGCCTTCTTAGATAGTGGGTCGGATGCCTCGCTTATTACAGAAGATCTAGCGAAAGGTTGAATTTAGAAGGAGAGCCTAAGACGATTTCGTTGAAAACGTTGGATAACCATTCCATAATTCAGTGTAAAGAGGTTCAACTAGAGGTTTTCTCCTTAGATTCGTCTTCGTCATTTAGAATCCCAAAAGTATGGACAGTCGAGAGATTACCTATGTTGCGCAGGACGGTACCAACGACGTCTCAAATGAAATCATGGATGTATTTAAGACATAAGTTTTACTAGAGTAGAGGATGGGAATGTCAAACTGTTGAATGGGTGCAACGCACCGAATGTACACGAAATGAAAGAGATAAAAACCGGAAAGCCGAATGAACCATTCGCCATGAAGACTCTGTTAGGTTGAACGCTGTTCGGTTCCTATAGGGAACCTTGTAAAAGCAATCGTGCACTCAACCACCTCTCAGCTAAAGAGGAATTAGAGGATAAGTTCGACCAGTTGTACTCAACTGAATTCAAAGATCCATTTAGTCGTACTATATCGATGTCTGTAGAAGATCGTATAGCACTCAGTGCTATATCAAATTCAGTACAAAGATTAAACGGGCACTATCAAATGGCTCTACCTTGGAGGCACAACCACAAGTTACCTAATAACAGAGAATTAGCAGAACGTAGACTTAGCTGTTTGAAAGGTCGACTTATTCGGGATAAGAAGTTGTTCGAAGACTATGTAGACTCCATAACTCGGTATGTAGAACGAGATTACGCTGAAAAAGTAAACGATAACCACTCTGATGGGCGAATTTGGTATCTTCCTCATCATCCAGTCTTCCACTCCAAGAAACCTAACAAGCTAAGAATAGTGTTCGATTGTGCAGCTCAGTATGCTAGAACGTCTTTAAATAAGAACCTTTATTCTGGGCCTGATTTAGTTAATAACCTAGTAGACGTTTTCACCAGGTTCCGGCAACAACCAGTAGGTCTTACGGGGACATTGAAGCTATGTTCCACCAAGTAATAGTTCCGTCGCATGATCAAGATGTTTTTAGATATTTGTGGTGGCCAAGTGGAGACTTAGAAAAGGAACCCGAGATCTATAGAATGAAGGTTCACCTGTTCGGGGCGACTTCATCGCCATGTTGCGCCACCTTTGCTTTATAGAAAACGATTTCTGATAATCAAGATAAATTTTCCAGGGCTGTTACGCAAGCAGCTAAAGAACAGTTTTATGTGGATGATTTATTGATGAGTGTGGATACTATAAAAGAAGCCAAACTGACATATTCGTACTTTAAAAGATTCCTAAGTTTGGGAGGATTTAACTTAACTAAATGGACTAGTAATAGCGTTGAAGTGCTGGAGTTCATTCCAGAAGAAGACCGTGCTGAAGGAAGCATTATTGTCTGTGAGTCCAATGAGACAAGTAAACGAACTCTGGGAATAGAGTGGAACGTCCGAACAGACGAGTTATGTTTCAAAGTTCACGAATTTCATGGAAACCCCACCAGAAGGAATGTTTTATCGTATGTAGCATCTATCTTTGATCCAATCGGGTTTGTAGCCCCAATAATATTACCAGCTGAAGTGATCTTACAAGATACTTGTCGTCAGAAACTAGACTGGGATACCGAGTTAACCATAGATTGTCAAGCAAAGTGGAATAATTGGTGTAGACATATAAAAGGGTTAGACCATTTGAGAATACCAATGTGTTTGAAACCAGGGTTTGAACCATCATCTGCGCAAA